CCCTACAGTCCAGTATATTTTTCCTATTGATCTTTATATTTCACTTTCAAACATTTGCTAAGTCACAGCAGTCAGCTGTAAGTTGTTGACTTTCTTTTTTTTTTTTAATTTAACGCAGAGGGCCCAGCCCGTGGCATGGTGGTTAAGGTGCTAGATACTCCCACGTGGCCTGGTGACTTGCTTTCTCACTTTCCCTCTTTCTCTGGTCAAATTAAAATAAGCGAATGAATAAATAAAAATTAAATAAATAATTCTTTTTAAAAAATTGACAGAGAGCTTGTGTACTTCTCAGTGAAAGAGATAGAAAGTGAGAAAGCAGTACCCATGGGGAATGGTCACACCACTGTCCCTTCTCCACTTCTCCCTCCTTTCAAGATTTTGGGCACACACGTGCACATGCCCAGCATGTTTTTCAAGCTGCCAGGTCTGGTCTCAAACTACACAGTTGGCCATGTGGAATCTAGCGGCAGAACCACCATTCCACTGTTGCTGGCCCTATTGCTCTTAATAATCACTAGTTTTTTTTATTTATGCCTCAGACTTGATTAGTAGAACTGTGGTGATAGCAGGTTTTTTAAAATTATAAAGTCTTTCTTTCTTCCATGAGAGGTGACAGAGAAAGTCACCCCAACAGAGTCTTCACGCAGCAGTCCAACCCTCGTCTTAGGCAGCAAGGATTCCAAGTGCACACAGATCCGCTGTGCACAGGGAGGCCCCGGGAGGTGAGCCTGGGACCTGCCCATGTGGGTGCAGCACCACAGAGCAGTGCCTTAGTGCTGCGCCCCTTTAGCTGGCCAGACTTATTTTTCTTAATGAAAACATACATATGCCCATTGAGAAGGTGTTAGCATTGTAATTTTTGGTGAGCAGTGCTCAATTCTTGGCCCTAAGAAAGGTTTTGCAGAGATTCCTAACTTGTTGATTCCAGAGATACTGGTTTTTTGGTTTTTTTTTTTAAGAATTATTTTATGTAATTTTATTTATCCATTTATTCATCCATTTATTTATTCATTTATTTATTTCAATTTCATCAGAGAGGGCAGAGCAAGTGAGAGAGAAAGCCGCCAGGTTTGGGGTCTGAACCACAGCCATGTGGGTGCACCCTTAACCACCATGCCACCTGCCGGCCCTAACTCCAGAGATATTCTTGATCTACATTTTAAGATCTCAAATGACCTTCCTGGAAGGTCTGGATAAATCAGAATTATCTTTGATTATTGGCTTAATTTTCAGTGTTTTATATTGGTAGTAATCAGGATTTGGTCCAGAAAACAGAAGCTACACTATATATTTCAAGAGGAAGTTCTAGGCTGGGCTTTCAGGACTGGTTCCCGAGGTGCTGCAGTACTCAGCTACCAGTTGAGCTAGTATGTCTGCCTCCTCCTGGGAGAAGAAGGAGCAGGTCCCTGTGGAACCACGAACTCTGAAAGTGGGCACCGAACTCTGAAAGTGATGTCGCTGGACTCCCATTTGGCCGTCACAGCTACTTCTGTATAGCTATGAAGAAGAGTGGAGGGACCAGCAGTTAACATAATGGCTATGTCGCTGGACTCCCATGTAGTTGACCACGGTTTGAGTCCCGGACCTGGTGGCTTAACCTCACACTGGGCACGTGTGCGTGTGTGCCCAAGCTCCCAAGAGAAGAATGGAGGAAAAGGGATTGCAGTGTGGCTATCCCCCCAGGGGGTGATTTCTCGCTTTCTGTCTCCCTGTCTCTCTCTTTCTTAACGGTGAGCCCACGTGCCCAATAGCAAAAACCTCTCCAAAAAAATAAAGTAAAATAAAATAAATAAAAAAAAGAAGAGTGGAGACTGCCTTTTTAAAAATTTTTTATCATTAGACAGTAGTCAGTACTAGGAGGACGATGGTCTTTCATTTCTGCCTTTCACATATCCCTCAAACACGTCCAGTTAGTGGACCGTGACTCCTTTCTAGAGCCTAGATGCAGATACATGTAGGTAGTACAGTTTTCAGCTTTTATGAATAGAAGGCATTACGAGAAGGTGGGAATAGGGACCAGCAGATGGCGTAATGGCTACGTCGCTGGACTCCCATGTAGTTGACCATGGTTTGAGTCCTGGACCTGGTGGCTTAAATTCATGCTGAGCGTGTGTGTATGCGTGCTCAAGATCCCGAGAGGAGAATGGAGGAGAAGGGACTGTGGTGTGGCCATCCTCCCTGGGGGGTGATTTCTCACTTTCTGTCTCTCTGTCTTTCTGGCGAGTGCATGTACCCTATAGCAAAAATCTCTCAAAAAAGAAGAAGAAGAAGAAGAAGAAGAAGAAGATGGGAATAGACCTGGAGTGCAGGTCCAGGTGACCCGTACAGTGTAGTGTCACAAACCGGAATGAACTCTGGGTGGATTTCACAGTTAAACATAAAGTCATAAGAAACTAAAAATAGAGGCTTGCCCTACAATGCAGTGGTTTTTAAACTATTTTAGTAGTGGAACCTACTCCTTAAATGAAATAACACAGGAACAGCAATTGCTAATATGTAAAACCATGACGATTCTATTCCCAGTGAAACGGGAATGAAATGGGCTATAGCTTAACTTCTGAGAGACATCGCGAGGTGGTCCCTGAGTCTGTCTACGCCAGGTCAGGGCACAATTTGAGAAATAAATTATCCCAGAACTTAACAGCTTAACACAGCAACAGACATTTTAAATTGCATACAGTTTCTGAGGGCTGGCAGTTTGGAAGTGGATTATCTGAGTGGTTTTGATTTGGTGTCGTTCCTGAGCAGAAGGCTTCTGTGGTGTTCGTGAGGGCTCACTTAGCTGACTGGTAGAAGGCTGTTATTCCTTTTGACAAGGAGCCTCGTTCTTTGCCCTGTGGACCTCTCCATAGAATGGCACAGGCATTCACAGGGGACAGCCGGCTTCCCCTGGCGATTCGCTGAGAGAGCAAGGTGTGATCTCTGTAGCCTGGCCTTAAAGCCACACGCTGTCATTTTAGCAGGGTCCTCTTGGTGACACAGATCAATCCTGTTCATTGCAGGAGGGAGCAGTAGGGTGTGACTACCAGGAGGAAAGAATGATTGACACAGTAACCAAGGAGAAAAGCACAGACGTGGTCCAATATATGAAAGTGGATATTTTCTAACTTGAAAACTAACATACCCCAAATGAAAAAAAAAAAAAAGAAAGAAAGAAAACAAGAAAGAAAATTAATCATTGAGCATATAACGGTGTTTGTCTAAGAAATAGTGAGAATGCCCACCAAAGCAGCAGTTAAGTGTAATTTTATAACCTTTTAAATAAAAATTGAAAGATAACAGAACCCAAACTTAGAGCTAATGTCATGTGGTAAGACATCTGTACTTGCTGGTGGCACTGGATGGATTGTATTAGTGTTTCTGGAGAATGTTGGGTAGTGCCTATCAACCTATCATCCTTCAAGGATGTTAAGTTTGTTTACCTAGCATCCCACTTTCAGGAATTTATTCTAAGGAATTAATTTTAAAAGAAAGGATCTATAACATGAAATAATATATTTCAATGTTCTCTCTGTAACTGTGGTAGAAGATAGTCTGAGTATTTAGTACTAGGGAAATGGTCATTGTAGGTTATGGTATATCAAATCAGTGGAATATAATCAGTTTATGGAATATAAATAGAAAGCTTACATGAATAAAATAATGAAGAAAAGCAAAAAAAAAATCTATATATTACAACCCTTGCAGTTCAATTTGCTATAATTACAGCCATGCAAAGGTTCTCAGCTAGTATAAAAAGGAAAAGTAAAATGTGAAATGACTTGTTACCTAGGATGATGGGATTATGGGTGGTATCTTTGTGCCTCCTCCCATTTTTCTTCATTGTTAATGATGTTTTGATGATGAACTTACTATCTCATAGAAGAAAAATTATTTAAGAATAGAAAACAGAGGACAGAAGATTTAACCAGCCCATTCTCTCATCAAAGAAAAATAAAAGTAACCACTTTTTAGAGGAGAGGGACAAATCCTTTCAGAGTTGAGAGTAAACTGGCTACCCTAAATTTTTGAATCAAACTGATACTTGTAGAAGAAGAAGTATTGCTTTTCTGTCACTATTAATTTTAATCACAATAGAAATAATACATTTGGTTTTAGTTTAGCTTCAGTACCTTAAATTATGAGGTAATAGCTCATTTTAAATAGTGTGATTATTTTATTAATATATTTTTTAATTATAAAAATAACATCATTTCTTAAAAGAATACAAAAGGGAATAAAGTGAGATGTGAAATCCTTCTACAAAGTTTTTAGGCCTGTTTTCCAGGATGTTATTACTGTAAATAACTTTCAGTGTGTTCTAGAAATGGCCTTGGCATATTATATATTCATATATATTGCAGCATGTGTACAAACATAATGTTTTGATGCAGGTTTAATAAAATTTTAGCGTTTGTCCAGTTTTTTATAATCAAATTAGAAATGCATGTGTACCAAATCCTCTTGAGTGTTAATAAAACAGAATTGGGGTGCCAGGTTCTGATGAGATCTGTATGGCAAACTTCCAATAACATCTCGTTTTATTTGTACTTATAATTCGGATTAAAAGTAATTGCCTTTTCTATATTATTGTTTTATAACAATTACAAAATGATTCTTGGTTGTCCTCTTCATGTATTTTTTCCTTGTTAGGTCACCCATCCTGTTTAAAGTTTTCCCCTGAACTAACGGTTAGAGTGAAGGCCTTACGGTGGCAGTGCATCGAGTGTAAAACGTGCAGCTCCTGTCGAGATCAAGGCAAAAATGCAGTGAGTGTCTTTGCCATCCTGTGTGGGTGTGTCATTTAGAAGTGGAGTGTGTACAACTGGCATTTCCATCTAAGTACGACTGGTTATTTTTCAATCCCTGTGTCCAGTAGCATTTAGAACAGTGGCCTTTTTTAATTACGTGTAATTAGTTCTGAATGCTTGCTTGTTTAGGTTTGTATTATTTCTGGGTAATTTTAATACACTATATAAACATTATATGCACTATATATGTATATATATGTTTATATATTTTAATGCACTATATATAAACACTATATGCAATACACACACACACTCACACACACACATATATATGTTTAATTATATGTATTTCAAGTTCTTCAAACTTGAAAAAAACAAAATTTCTTTGGGCAATATGGAGGTATTCATTTAGGAATGGTCAGTTAGTTTATTAATTTCAAATCTACCTTTTCTTTTTTATTAAACAGACCAGCTTAGGTTATTTCTGGTTATTAGATGTACTTGAAATTATGAAACTGTAGATTTTATAAAAGATTAGATGAAGCAGAAACTTTTGGCTAACTCATACTGTTCATTTACTTAGTTAATACAAATTAAGGAAACTTAATATTATGGTAACTCATCTCTCTTTTTTTTTTTTTTTTTTTTTTGAGATCTTTGAAGCTTCTTAGGTTTTATGAAGTCATGATCCTAACTTGTTTCTTTTTGATAAGGTTAATAAACAGAACTGTCCTTATCCTTCCAGGATAACATGCTCTTTTGCGATTCATGTGACCGAGGTTTTCACATGGAATGTTGTGATCCACCACTCACCCGGATGCCAAAAGGTAACAAATACGTCCTGGAATCAAAGTGGGAGTATACAGGAATGTGTTGCAGAAAGCAAGTTCTAGCTACTTGATGAAAATGAAAGAATAATTGGATCTTTCTTTCTGAGATTGTGTAAATAGGAAGAGAACTATCACCTTAAAGGTAGGGGTAGTCTTTCTGTGGAGGTACCTTAGTGCTTTTAAATGCTATGGATTTATCATGATTTCCCTCTATTTTTGATATTTTAGCATCCATGAAGGATGAAGAACTTCATTTATAAATATTCATCAGTATTTAGCTAGAGAACAATATACTTTCCTTATGTAATATCTCGAAATACGGACAGCCCACATGGAACCTGCAGATGTGGAGGGCCTATTGCAAGGGACTTGAGTGTCTGCAGACTTTGGCATCTGAGGGTGTTCCTGGAACCAATTTCTTGAGGATCCTGAGGAATGACTGTTCCTTTTTTTTTTATTAAAGTAGGAAAAGAAATTACATTAGGCCATGTTGAATGTATTACTGCTCAGCACTTTTGAGGGGCCTAGAGATACAGAGATCTGGCTTATTCAAAGTGAGAAACAAAGTATAAAATAAGTTGTGACAATTAATGTCCAAGTCATCAAGTTGCCTTAGTGTTACTCTTTCTTTTTTTACTCCTATTCCTTGAAAGGTATTTAGTTGGGGTATAATTACCTTTAGGTTGAATTTCTGTAGAGTGCCATCTAATCATATGCTTATGGACTTTTTAAAATATTTTTTTTAGTCATCCCTGTTTTGTGCTATCACAAATTCCATTTCAACACTGATTTTGTGTTTTACCAGTTTCTTAAGTAATGTGACTATGAGCTATTTGGTAATGTCTGTTTGGAGAAAGTTTTCCTGTTGATGGGAAAGGACTTGGTTGTAGGTTATAGCCAAACTATTCACCTTTGGATCTTACTTGAATTACTCTTATGTCATTCTATTGATGGCTGCCTTTAGAAAACTCTTAAATTTATACAGATCAGAAGAATAAATACCCTCCTTTTCCTATCATTTCTGTTTATTTGAAGTTTTGGCAAGAGACCTTCTGAGAATCCTTTAGAGATAAGAAAGATTTTTGGGGGCTTTTTTTTTGTATTTAACTTTTACAAAAGAAGTTTTATTGCTGTTTCAAGCAGGGAGCAAAGGGACCAGCAGTTAGCATAATGGCTATGTCTCTGAACTCCCATGTAATTGACCGCAGTTTGAGTCCTGGACCCAGTGGCTTAAACTCACGCTGGCCGTGTGTGCATGCAGAGAAGAGAATGAAAGAGAAGGGTTTGCAGCGTGGCCATCCCCCCTGGGCGGTGATTTCTCGCTTTCTATCTCTCTTTCTGGCGAGCGCACGCACCCTATAGCAGAAACCTCTCAAAAAAACAACAACAAAAAAAAAACAGGGGAGCCAGCAGCAGTTAGCGTAATGGCTGTGTCGCTGGTCTCTCACATAGTCGACTGCGGGTTGCATCCCGGACCTGGTGGCTTAAAACACACGCTCGG